AGTGAAAGTGGTAATTAATTACGTTAATTACGAATTACGTATTTACGGTAATTAGCTAATTACCATATCATGTATAGTATGAATACATAGCACCCAGCCTATGGAATACAAAAGCAGTAATAATAATGGGTGGAAATACCTGGTAACATTTATGGAAAGCTCACCAAGTGAATTGGGATGGATAGAACCATCATTAAAATTTGGCAGTGAAACTGTAAATCTGGTTCAATCTGCTGGTGTGGGTAGAACTAGTGTTGTATATGAGGGAAAGCACAATGATGAATTTGTGGTTGTAAAAATGGCAAAAAAGGTGGAATATCTACATTGTTTTGAAAGGGAAAAAGATGTATTGGAAAAATTGTCAACTCTTAATTCACCTTATATTCCAAAGATCCTATTTAACAATTATGACACACTTGTTATTACTCCATGTGGTGAGAAAGTTAATAATTTACAAAAGAAAGATATCAAAGACATCATTACCACCCTCCAAGATGTTCATTCATGTGGAATTATACATAGAGATCTTAGGAAATACAACTTTCTTCGAAATTTTGATGATTTAAGTGAAAATATTCTTATTATTGATTGGGGATATAGTACAAGTAATTCTGAAAGTGCTAAATTTGCAGGTGCATTGGAATGTATGCCAAACGAAGTCCTGGAATCATTAATCAATGAGGAAGAGATCATTTATGGGCCAAAAGTTGACTTGATGTGTTTTGTGCATTCATTTTATTTAATGATCCATAGACCATCACTGGATATGTCTCCCTTTGATAAAGATGATATTAAAAAATGAGCACAGACGTTGTTAAATTTCTGGAGTGGTCATGGAAAATCAGATGTATGGGACAGTATTTATAATGCAATAGAGGAATTAGACTATGACAAATTAATTCAAGAGCTTGAGAGGATTTTTTAAATTGCTAATTTCAGGTTGGATTTGCTCATCACTTTTATATTTCTTCTCTGATGTATTATAATTTACCTAATGGCATTGATATAATCAAAAAATAATAAAGTTTGTGAAAATAACAATAATAGTAATGCTTCCAATAAAGTTTGCTCATATTAGGCTTGCAATTTTCAATGCGTGTATGCTAATGATCATTTCTATGTATTCTTGAATGGGAAATATTGTCAGCAATAAAATTCTTCACACATGTAGTTAGCACTCTTAATAACGAAATATTATATTTTTGTTCTGAGTTTGAATGTGAGAAGGTAGTTCTTTGCATCAGAACATGCTCTGTGAATAATAAACATCTTATTGGGCTCCTTCAAAAATTATTAGATTGAGATTGAGATTGATTTCGATCTGCATTCAAAAATTTCCATATTGAGATTGATTTCG